TACTGACACTTTCTAAACGACAATCCGAATTACGATCGGACTAAAGGCGGTACGAAAGGTGTCACAGTCAGGGGAGACCACTAAGTATAAACCAAATTATACACAAAACAGGAATTTTCTTTAAATAATACTGAGTAACTAGACAGAAAAATGATCAAAATCACCGCAGTAGCATCCCAAAAACACCTGAATTGCAAAAGCACATCATGCAAATGACCATGTAGAGCAAAAGTACAGTTGAACACATAACCAAACCACAACTACACAACGAGCAACGCAGACAATCATTGTAGTCAGAGCTACAACATCTCCGAATCAAAGAGGCGAATAAGAGGCGGGAAAGGGGGCATTTTTCGACGGTGGCAAAGGCAGATACAGCACCATCCCAGAGTCACAATAGCTAATTTCAGGAGAATCTCGTCCCAACCCGTCTCCGGCGTGATTTCCAGTTGTAGCATTGGAACCGCAAACCAGAGCACTACTGCCAATCTGGACATGCGAAAACATTCCCCCACCTATATTAGTGTCAAAGTCCAGTCAAAACAACATGAATGTTTCGTAAAAGTAAAGCGAATGGACTAGGTGGTTGAACTGCACACCATTTGGCCAGGTTAGAGGTTTCAGAGAGGAAGTAAACCTAACCACCTTTGGGAGGGCTGGTCAAGTGAAGGAGTTTAAACCACTCCATTGCCTGTTGTAAACCGCATCAAATATCATTCGTTTACAGACGCACCGGCACAATTTACCACCCATTCCCAAGGGTAAACAAACTTGCTGCCAATTCCGATTTTACAAAATGTTTTATCATTTGAAGCCAACAGCCCACTTCTAGTCACCTCTGTTTCCACAACCCCATCTTCAACTTGTCCACTTTCCAGGTTACTGTTTCAAGCCTCCCAACAGAAGGTGCGACTCATCAAGCGGTGCATTAACCATTCAAACATTGCAGACGATGACGTGACTCAGTGCCTCCTCCTCCTCCTCCTCCTCCTCCTCCACCCTTCCCTTCCCGCCCCTCCGAAAGCGCAAGCCTCCCTGTGGTTTAACTTTGAGGTTATACTATGTGCAATATCGGGCGTTGCCTGATAGGAGCAACAATGCAATTCACCGGTCTTGATGCCTTTTAACCAAAAAGTAAGCCTGACACGCCTCCCATTTGCGTTGCGTTGGGTAGACAGATCTTGGCCCAGATTTCTTTGGTCTCCACCACCAAGTGACCACTTCACAGTGAACAATTCTGTTTGCGGCGCACCACACTCACA